GGTCATACCGGAAGTTGATACCAACTCGGTTATTTTAAATAGAACACCCCATATATTAATGTATTTTTGGATTCTACATAAAATTCTGAGCAGATTTCATGTAATATACCCTATACCTAAGTTCAACTGTTTTGGAAATATTGACAGTTGAAAATTGACTTTTTGCAACTTTGACAAGCTGTAAAACCTAATTGGTTAATTTTAGAGGAAAACCGATTTCACATTCCTATCTTAGATTTTGATAAACTATCATTTGACACCAACTTTGAACTTAAACGGAGATTAAATTTAACTGAAATTTTTAATCATGGATTTAATTCAAAGTTGATGTCAAATGATAGTTTATAAAAATCTAAGATAGGAATGTCAAATCGGGTTTCCTCTAAAATTAATTGTTCAGGTTTTACAGCCTGTCAAAGTTGCAAAAAGTCAATTTTCAACTGTCAATATTTCCAAAACAGTTGAACTTAGGTATAGGGTATATTACATGAAATCTGCTCAGAATTTTATGTAGAATTCAAAAATACATTTATATACGGGGTGTTCTATTTAAAATAACCGAGTTGGTATCAACTTCCGGTATGACCGGAAATGCCGCCATCTTGAAAATATTTTACCTAGATGTCCCCCATCGACATTGCTATGTTGCCAAATTTTCAAATTTTTACCTTTCACAGTTTTCCCATAAGCAATCGATGTCATTCCCGAAGGACCACCCTGTATATCACTCTGCAATTTTCCATTCAAAAAACCAGTAGGAATATCTGATTGTCGTATTTCTAAGTTCCTTTACAATGCCATAGACATCAACAATCCTCAAAGTTATAGCTGTCCGCCCAATTACTCTTTTGATTAGTTAGATGGTAGATGGCGAACGGTTTTATTGATGGTGTTTATTTCTTTCTATTCGAAAGTCATTTCACTCAAATTCAATTAAATTTTTGCAATAATGTTTCATAGTCATTTCACATTCATAGTCATTGCAATTAATTTCAAATAAAAATCTTCTCATCTTATATGTACAGGGTATCCAAGATTCGATGGTTTTGGCAGGTTTCGGGGATTTCTAGAGGAGTTGGAAAAAAACTGACCCCACTTGCGAGCCTCGATTTTCAAGAGAAGTTGACCGGTGAAACCCGCATCTCGATTTGTTTTCAAGCTACTAGGGAAAAAGTTGATCAAATTTTAATAAATAAAAAAGTTATAGACTCCCTGCCAAACTCCAAACTTTTCAAAAACCTCTCGAAGCATAAAAAAGACTCGACATATCGAGATGCGGTTTTCACCAGTCAATTTTTCTTGAAAACCGAGGCTCGCAAGTGGGGGTCCATCAGAAATACCTGAAACCCCCCATGAGCATCGAATCTTGGACACCATGTACTTACTATAATAATTGTCATTAACTTCACTATACTGACCCATTAATTACCATATTATGTTGGGTACAACCTGAATCTAAAATAGAACAATTTAAAATACGTGATGATTCACCTAGGTACGTTTTATGCAATTAATGAAATTTCATCTGCCTGGTTTGCATGATATCCTGCTTGACTTTGACTTTTTATTGGTTCGTGGTTGTCCTCTACCTCTACCATATTGATAAGATGTGCCTCTATAAGTATTTCTCCAACAACTAAAATTTCCCCTAGACTGATTCTGATGACAATCTACAATTTTGTGACCAATTTTCCCACATTTTTAACAAGTATAAAGGGCCCCATACACTACGTTCTTTCTCGTCGGTTTTCATCGCCACGATGAAACACGTCGTTCCAAAACCGAAGTGTGTGGTAGAAAAACACGACGGTTTTCTACCACACACTTCGGCTTTGGAACGACGTGTTTCATCGTGGCGATGAAAACCGACGAGAAAGAACGTAGTGTATGGGGCCCTTTAGGTGCTTTATAATAACAAAAACTAAAAATGTTGGAATATTTAACGCTTTTTATTTTAATAATAAACTTAAATTAACTTCAAAAATAAACTTGTAATTATTAACTTTAAAAACACTAGAAGAAACAAAGGCGACAAGCTTCATCAGGGCGGCGACATGTTTTTTTGTGTAAAAAAATCCTCGCTCAAACGACGTCAATACGACCTATCGATTTTACCTCTTTAGTGACACCACTGGCACTGAACTCCTACCCTGTACCATCGCGCCAACATCCCTGTTCACCCTTTTACGTATGCACCCTAGTGCGAGTGTGCCCAGACAGAGCGCGATATATTTCGGGTTTACGCCAAAGCCTAAAAACCAACCTGAGGTATATTTTTATTAAACCCAACATACAGCCTCCCTTGAAAGCTTGTCTGAAAATAGAACCTATATAAATAATAAACATAACGCATAACATTTTTCTGAACTTAAAATTAACTTATTACATTCTGCTTAACCCCAAGAAAAACCTATTGCAAGAATACAATTTTTATTAATACACGCTGATCGTGCAGCGACATTTTCTTGCTCAAATGGTAGAAGGCACAACCAAGTTACTGCTCTCTTGAATACGCCACTTGTTACTGACGCTACCATACAAACATTATCACTGCCGAAGTGCAATTCTACAATTCGCCCGAGCTGCTATTTCAATGGCGGTAGATTATCGTCACGTACAATCGCTATTTGTCCAATGTTTACATTCTCTGGCCTCTGATACCATTTGACCCTTTGCTGCAGTTGTCCCAGATACTCCTGTGACCACCTTTTTCAAAATCCTTGTACCATCTGTGTAAGTAGCCGATTGCGCTTGTGTTGGGTCATGTCTTACCGAGGTAGAGCATTGAGGGATGTACCGATAAGTAAGTGTCAATACATCGAGATCATCAGCATTCAGCGGTCGAGAATTCAAGCAAGATTCCACCTGTGTCAAGACTGTATACAACTCTTCAAATGTTAATTTTTGTTCTCCCACAACTCTTTTCACATGATAGGTACTTTACAGATTTGACGTCAGATTCCCATAAACCCCCAAAGTGTGGTGACCGTGGCGCAATAAAATGCCATTTTATGGAAAACTGACAAAAATAATTTGAAAATGCTGACTGATTTCTTGGGTTCTGTAAAAACCTTATCAAATCTTGTAACTCATTATTTACCCCTACAAAATTAGTAGCATTATCAGTGTATACTATATTATTACATAGCCCTCTGCGCGCAATAAACCTCTTGAAACAATTGAGAAACGACTTTGTAGTCAGGTCCTCCACCAACTCACTTACGAAACTAACAAATACACTTATTGTTTCTACAGGTTTTCTACCTTTACTGACCTTAATCAACAATGGTCCTGCAAAATCTACTCCACAGTTCGAGAATGGCCTACACGGAGTTATCCTAGATTTGGGTAACTCCTTCATAATATGCCGAGGTCTTCGAATAATTTGGCGACCTGATATTGGCCAATACCGGAGGCGAATTTGTGCTAGCAGGGCACGAGGCTCCGCATGTAGATGCTTGTAGTGTTCATGCAGAATTAATCATCCTTGTTAACCGATGTTTATTGGGCAATATTACATCATAACTTAAGTTGGCTTTTGCCAGTCTTGCTCCTACCCGCAGTAACCCCCATTCATCCATAAATGGATTTAGAGAAAAAACGATTTTGCCGGACTTATCAATCACCTTCCACCATTCTTCAACAACTTTAATTCTGGATTGAAGACCTCTCTATGCAGTAACTTGATTATTGCAATCCACGATTCATCAATCTCTTCTCATACGAGAGAACCCATTTGCCTAGACGTACCCTTTTCCTTACAGTTTTTAGAAAAAAAGAAAACAGTATGCTACTGATTCGAATATCTGTCTAATATCTCCATTGATCTGCGAATGCCTTGAGAATAGCTCTCTGCTCAGTAATTACATCGATATTCAACTTATCATCCCTTGCCCAATGTTCTTCATCCTTTGATAACCAATCTAGTTCTAGCCACCATAACCTGGTTTCCCTTAAATTTCCGCAATCCAACCCCCTGACACCTCATCCGCAGGATTAGCTTTGGTAGGTACATGACACCAATGTTGACCTTCAGTTATTGTTTGAATTTTCGTTGTCCTATTGGCCTCAAATGTCGTCCAATTTGGAGGTTTTTCAGCTAACCAATGGACAATGGACGAGTCACACCAATACCTAACTTCAGCACCTTTAAACTTAGTTGACTACAAAACCGATTTTGTGACTTAGCCAATAAGAGCGCACCGCAAAGTTCAAACCTAGGAAGTGACACTACCTTCAGAGGATCAACCCTTGATTTTGAGCAGAGCAATCGGACATGGCATATTCCTTCCCCACCAACAGAACGAACAAAAATGCAAGCTCCGTAAGCTTTCTACGAAGCGTCACAGAATTTGCAGGATTCTTGCATACAATATGTCGCTTGATTTGGAAGGTCCCCATCCTTTCAAATTCTTCCCTCAACTCAACCCATTGACCTAAAATATCCTCCGCAACCTCTTCGTCCTATCCCAATTTTTTTTTCCATAACTCCTGCAGAACTAACTTAGCCTTGAAAATCATTAGGTTTATAAGCCCCAAGGGATCAAAAATCGGTGATATCAGGGACTTAGTTATTTATTGTTTAGCATCATCACCATATTCTCCAAGACAGTCATAGTGCAATGTATCAGTCATGGAATTCCATCGAATGCCCAAAGTTTTTGAAGCTTTGTTTTCTCGACAAATGTAGTGCTCTATATCTTGACCCTGATCATCTTCAATAACCCCCCGATTGATAGAATTCCACATCTTTAAAATAAAACCTTCCTTGGCAAGTAGCTGACTAATATACTTTTTTAACTGTCTTGGATGAAAACATTGCTAACTGTTGCATATATTTTACAGCTAAATAACCCGAATAAGTCATATCATATGTAATAGTATTGAACCTATAACCCCAATGGGCTCGTCGAGGCCAAATCTCCACAAAATCCTCTGAAAATCCCTATCCTCATTCGCTATCCAGGCCTGCCTAAACATCTTTTCCACATCTGCAGTAATCACAATAGCAACGAAGAAGTGCCTATGTCAAATATGTCATCTTGTAATTTGGGCCCATTTAGTAAAACACTGTTCAAGGAAACACCGTTGTTTGTGGAACAGCTGGCATCGAATACCAAGGAAGTCTGTTTAATCATTGAATGATGCGGCAGATAGTAAATATTAGGCCCTTCCCTTGACAATAGACTTTGTAAATCAGCAACCTTACTTATATGCCCCAAGTCAAGGTATTCCTGCATGAAAGCATTAAACAACACCTGCAGTTCCCTATCCTTCCCCAATTTTCTTTCCACAGTCCCATACCTTTCAAATGCAACTTCCAAAGAATGTCCCAATTTTGGTGAGCTTAACTCCAAACCTACCATCCTGTAACCTTATCGTTGTTTTAGCACTCCTCCTCCTCCTTTGTAAGCCATTTTTCTCGATCTACTTCCTCCTACTGCCAGAATTCTCCCAACTGCTCCTGCACAGTCAACGAAGCTAAATAACAACCCTGAACCTTCCTTTGTTCTCTCGTTCAACCTTATTCTTTTATCTCCCAAAATATCCATGTACAGTATATCCACCCTTCAAACTTCCAACCTTTCAGAAAGAATCATCAGCCAAAACGATATGCCTTGAGGAATTTTAAGCTCTGTGACGTCTATATTCAAAGAAGGAATAGTATGTGATATTGTATCGATCAACAAAACATTAGAGTTAAATTAAAAGTTAATGTAATTGGAAATATTTGTGATGCCTTGACCAATGCCCAAAACTGAAATGTTAATCCTTTTTTGCGGAAGATTCAATTTTTCCTGAAGTTCATTAGTCATGAAAGAAGATTGAGACCCACAATCCAATAATCCTCTGCAAACATGCATGTAATGGCTGTGGATAATAAAAGCTCTGAGAACTCAGACTCCTTGCGCTGTGCCCCTTTTGATCGTTAAAATTACTACATATCTCCCTCTCCTTGTGATCCATTATTGGCCACTTCGCCTGGAATGGTTGTTTGGTTTTGTAGCCCTCGTAAATTTGAATTTTTCCCTTTCTTCGCCTGATCGGTATGCAACAAAGAAATATGCCTCCCATTGCATTGCTTATACAACCTAAGCTTGTGAATTAAAACTTCGAACCCCCTTGTCCTGGCCTCAGGCAATTCCAGCACAAATTATTTCTATTGACGCACTCCCTCTTATGTTGTAGCGTTATACCCCTAAAATCCTTACATTTTTGCATCCCATGTTCAAGAGACTCACATAGTACGCATCTAGAACCTCGTAATATGCCGAACATCTGAGTTGGTTTCTGATGCACTGCCGATTGGCGAAGTGCCTTATCCTTGCTACTATTATCCTGGAAATAATTTTTTCTATCACAATTTTTGGAGGACCGCGTATTTGTTTACTAAAAATTAAAAAATTCATCCTTGGTAGCAAAGGTATCCACTGCACACTGTCTTTGCCACTCCCGTTTTGTTATTTGGTCTAATTTGAGTTCTAGAATAAATATGAGTAGACTATCCCAATGCTCTACCGGTAACCCTATTTCCTCGAGAGCTCTTAAAGCCTTTCCAATTTCATCAACAAATTTCCTTAAGTCCACATATGATTCCCTTGTCATGTTAGGAAAGCCATATAGTGACTCTATATGACTTGGAGCAATGAGTTTTTTATTTTAGAATCTTTCCTTTATTAATGCCTAAGCCTCTTTATAATTTGCTGATAAAACCTCCAAGCGATGGATAACCTCAGCTGCCTTACCCTAATGCACCCTTCAAATAGCTAATGCTTCTCTTCCCATGAAGCCCCTACTCTGAACTTCCAATTGTTAGAATTTTCCGCATTTAACTGAGGTACTGCTATCACATTAATTTTTCTTGTTTTTGAAGTGATCTGGGCCCTTAACCTATCACATTTAATATGGTATTGGGGCTTCGGGCTTGGAAAGATTTGATATAATATTCCAAGGAGTTACAACATTTATTTTAAGAGAACTTTATATATGACACACTGACAATCTTAATACCAACTATTGATAATAATTCTATATCTTCTGTTTAATAGGTACTAAGGGTTGATTCATCTTGTATACTAATGGAGGGTAGCTCATCATTTGTAGCGAAATGCCAAATATATTGTTTTAAATCGGAAAAACTACCCATTGACGCCCAAAATTCGATACTCAGAATTCACTTATATGGGCCAAAACTAGCACATCAATAATTTTGGATATATTTTCTATCGGCGCTTGAATATATCAAAACAAGATTGTTTTTTTGCCAAAATACATGATAAGGTTTCTTTCACCAACTTAAGACCTAACTCCAGCAAAATTTCATACCCTGGTAATTCGACTATTATTGTTATAGAAGCTCTACTGTCTAGCAAACCTAATAAAGCGTAATGAAGTACTGACAATTCAAGAAATAGCCACTGATCTCCTTGTACAATACATATGATAAAATAAAGTACAATGCAAATTTGTTATAACTAGCCAGAGATCTGATGATTGATTGAGGAAATCCGGGGTAGTTTGCAAAAATCCGGCCGGAATCGGTCAGAAACAGTACGGGAAATATTTATCAAATAATAAACGAAGTTTCTCTTTTAAAAAAATCCTCAATCACATCTGAACCATTTTTTTTTACTATTATACGATCGAGTAAATTCACATGGCATAATGGCTAACAGAAGCCGAGTAAAAGGGGACAGTGAATAATTCATGCTTGGGTCGACGTTCGGAATTAATTTTTTCTCAGAAAAATATTGTTTTTAGGACTTAGTCCATGTAGAAATTGAACAGGGCTTATGAGACCGGCCAGACGTGGCTTTAGTTTTGTTTGAAAATTCGCATCCGCAATCGGGACGGTTATTAATAAAATAAATTGAGTTTGTTGAAATTTGAAAATTGTTGAATTTTACCAGGAAAACTGATTTGCTAGCTAATTACTAATTTAATCAAAAATTTGGAAACGAATTTTTTTTTTGTTTGTTTAATGACCGCTTGTCCTCTGGACCATATTTGCAATAAAATCTGGTCTACCGAACAATTTCCAGTTAAAAATCCCGAGTTTATTTTCGCCAACAGCGTGTCACAGACTATTCAATTACGGATTGGTGCGGCCAGCTAATCCAATTATCGACTAATGCAATAATCGATGCCACATTTCAATTTAATACTGCCCTCCGGTTTGGATACTGAATGGATCGACGATTCTATAATATGCAATTTGAATGGTTTTATCGACTTAATTTTTGTTGGAACATTAATATTTACACAAGACTCAATTTGAATGAACGTTGCACAAACTATAAAAGTCATTAAGCTAACACGACAATAGCTAACAAGCTGAAAATTCTCTTTTCAGCTAGAATCGATGTGCCTTTTTATCTATTTTTACCTGTACACACACAAAAGACTAACCAACCACGAGACTCGTGGGCTACGTCTTTCTCAAAGCGAAAAGCCCATATCGAAAAATAGCTTTATCCTTGCGGATTCCCCCCGGATGAGGGGTCCCGAACAATAGTTCGGCGTCCTGAAGGAATATCAAAGAAAAGAGCTGCTGGCTGGCTGAAGGCCGTCTTACTTCCAAAAGGATTTGCAATTGTAATAGTTGCGAAAGGGAATATCGATAATGCCTAGCCAGCTACCATTTTCAGGAAAGGGTTATGCAAATTATTCATGCTCAATTTACTATGAAAATGTTGGGAATTTTTGATCATTCGGGATAATATAACTTTCCACTGTGTATCCTTATTTGATTAAATTATAAAGTTACGTTATCTGTATGTGGAAACATCTCGCTAGTGCAGCAATTATCGGTATGAGGCAACAGACATATAATAACTATGTTATGTATACAACTTGTAGTTTTGTATTATAGCATAATGCAATAATATCTAGTGCAACATTTTATTAATGGAATATTTCGACGATGCCATATTTTTAGCTACTATGTGTCAGAAAGAAACACAGACAAGATGTAAATAGAAGTCAAACAAAAGGGTGATACAGTTTGATACTGGAAACCAATTTCAATTTATTTACTCATCATGGAAACCTACAGATAACTTTTTAAGAGAAATAAGTTATGATACTCAACTGTGTCTTGACATTAGCTTTCGAAGAAGATATTTGACCGCAAAAGACACAAAAGAAAACTTATACAAACTGGTACCAGGAGAGAAGTCACTATGCACAGGAAATACATTACTAATTATAGTAAATATTTAGGTATTATAAAACGGTTACTCTACCTATATACCTTTCGAATGATATTACAGCTGGAATAAATAATCCACGCCCTATCCTGAAAATAATCATTCATGTACCGTTATTTCAATTAATTGCATTCCTTGTTTCCCAAACGGATGAAAATTTATAAAATTTACAGTTCGGCTGTTACTAAACTCAATTATTTAATTCTTTTACCTCAAAGCAAATATGAACGGTACAGATTCAAAATCAAACTATTATATTTTTATTATCACTGTCAATTTACTTAATTACATTTAATTGAAAACGCGCAGCTGAATTTGATTAAATTATAACCATCGGAGTAGGTTTTAATGTAGTATTCGATATCGTTGATTGAAATCGAGCTATATTATTTAAAGGTGGCGGCTCGATATCGGCACAATATTTATACCAAGAGTCCCGAGTGGCAAAAGAATTATCAAAGCAATTCGACTCAAAAGTATTTGCAATAATTGTAATGCGATAGTTGCACTTTGAACTGAAACATTTATTTACTAGATATATACAACACCGAAAAAATAAGAGAAGTCATAGAAAACAACAAAAGCATGTAGATCCTTAAGCAGTCACAACGAAAAGGCAAAATAAGAATCCACCAAATGAAGGATAAGGATGGAAACACACAACACGAAAGAACAAAGATCATAATAATCATTCAAGAGTACTATAAAGAACTCTACTCAGCAGCTACTACTCCACTAAGGATCATTTTGAACAGAAGAATTACTATTTTCGGATTCCTAGCCAACAAACACAATTATTTAAATTCTTATTAGTTCGTCACTATAGCCTTTAAACTTCAATTGGACAATCCAATTCAAAATTCTTTAATAATTCCAATTCCTACTCAAAATCGAATATTGTTAAGAGCATTATAATTTTCCTTTGTTAATTCTTTGCAAAATTAATTAAAATGTCATTATACTCGAAGGCAATTAAAGTTATGCAATAAAGTTTTTTACAGTCAAATCTCAAGTTTTGCTGTTTTTATATTATTCTATGTTCTAAGAAATAAATTAATTGGTTTAAAACCGAATAATTATGTCGCAATTTCCTGGTTTATCATGGTCAACAGATTTCGTATAAGAATGTGTGGGCCGTGAATCACCAAACTCGACAATATGGGCGGTCGTTTGACCATCTGTAATTCAAATCTATTGGTCGACTTAGATATTATTCCAAAAAAATTTGTTTCATCATCTTTCACGTTATTGATACTGATTTGAAATATTGGGAATTCAATTTTTGATTATTTGATTACATTTAATTTTTACTGTTAAGACATTGTAAATTACGGTTCTATTTTTCCCGGGTCATTACAGACTCATAATTTAAAAACCCGTCTGGAAATGATTTAAAACATCCCAATTGCCAAAAACATTGTACATAGACTATTTGTATATAAAAAACCAAAAACCAAATCAACCTCATCCATCTTACACCAGCCATTTTTCTTTCCAGTTCTGGCTGTTCAGCAAAAACGGCGAAATCCGTCGGGACGAGTCCTGCCTGGACTACAGCGGACAAGAAGTCATTCTGTACCCGTGCCACGGCAGCAAAGGGAACCAGTTCTGGAACTACGACAATCTCACCAAACTGATACGGCACGGCAGCAGCGACAAGTGCATGGCGATCAACGTGGCCAAAACCAAAATAGTGATGGAACATTGCGATTCGAATTCGTCCCATCAAAGATGGGACATGGAAAATTACGACAAATCCAAACTGTAGTTTTTGTGCGCGTATATGATGGACCTCTTTTCAATTTAGAATTATAATAGCCGGATTGTGGACTATTTGACAATGTGACTTTTATTATGCCTGCTAGTACTAGTGATATTTTTATATTTTGTTTTTGTTGTATAATAATATTCAGTCGTTATTATTCAAACATTCCTTTATATGTATAGTAACTTTTAGTCCAATATTGTTTAATTAATTGGACAATATGATGATGAAAATATCAATAATTAATTAAATTAAAACATATCCCTGACTGGTATCATCATATTATAAATTAATCTGCTCAATATATTTACATTCTATTAAACATATAGTATATATTGCGATGAGTTTTTTAGACCAAATCAAATAATAACTTCATAAAGGAATTATCTAAGGGTGTCAGGTCTGGATATTTAGCTGGCCAAATGGTGATAATTTAGAATGCTTTTATCTGAATACTAAATTCTTGAAAAACTCACCCTTTAAGTTTTTTTTAATTTTGTAAATAAATTAGGTAGGGTATAGAAAAAAAATTATGTACTTAAATGATATGTGTATGTTGTCTTTATATGAATATTTTTATTTTTTTGTAAGTATTTTTAAATTTTCTAGATCTAAGGTACCGTAAGTCTGTAGGGTAGGTGCCTACACAGTACACATGCCCTTTTTATATTAAACTGGAAATAGAGGGCTGGAAGAAAAACGCAAAACTTAGGGGAAAGGAAGCTGCTTGATTTTGTTGAAGAAGGAATTGAATATTCGTGATGAATCCCCGTTAGCTTGCAACATTTTCAAAACATCACAATAAAACAGACTTGCTGAATTCTAGATAAAAGTAACGATTCTTTTATTGAGGCAATTTATTTCTAATTAATAAAGTTCCTAATGGTAAATTAATTGCCTCGAAATAAGTATAGGTCTGTTCCAGCTCCAATCAAATTTCCCTTTGGGACAGACCTAGTTTAGTAAACTTTTCAGTGTCAAATTATCGCGGTTTTTATAGGTCTATCTCATAAGGTCTGGTCTGAGGACATACTTTTACCGACAATGACATTACCAGCATTAAACGGTAAAACTTTGATGACTGCCAACAGACAAGATACTTTAAGAAAGAAGAATATCTTCAATATCAGTAGTTCTCATTGCTCAAAAACTGAGCTTGTTTCATACAATGAAGAACCATTCCAGAATTTCATAACTTTTTTTTGTTCTATAACAAATTATGGATTGTGTATGCAGTAGGTTTTTTTTTAGTTGAGAGTTGTCCCTCTGTATCCAAAAGAATACCCATAAATTTCAAGTTTTTCCTCTGTATTAAAATCAGGGTGTCTTGAGTTATATCAAAATTTTAAGATAATTGGCCCGCTGGTGTCTTGTCGGTATCATGCCAATATCAAAGGATCTGCTCTCAAGCTCCTTTTGAGATCTTAGATCAACTTACCCTCAACTACTTCCTGGATTTGACTAAATTCCCAAATTGTCTTATAGCCGTGATTTATTATGAAAGTAACAATAATTCGCTCAGAAAAACATCATAATGTAAATATCATATCCTTTTGTGCATATCCGAAAAATAATGTATGTTGTACATATCGAAAAGCCACTTTATATCTTCTCGATAATTTTTTTACTGCCGCAAAGTTAAATATTATTGAGACAAAAAAAGGTGCTCCGTTTTAAGTTTATTGTGGGATATTTTTGATATAATTATTGCTATCTCACAACAATTTTGCATAGAGTAACCTTATAACTGTGTTATCTAGTAAATATTGTTGTAGTCACTACATGATGTGATATAATTATTATTTTATAATTTTGTTATTTTCGCTTGTTGAATCCTGTGAAATTTTATCCAAAACAAGTGTGTGGCTCAATCATTTTTATTATTATTATTATTATCAAATTAATAACTATCTTTGTAAGTATTCCTGTTATAAACATTGTAAGAATTGATATTTAATATCGTGGTTTTTAGGCCAGTGTATTGTATTTTTATAACGTGCCTTAATTTTTCTTGCACATAATAATAATAATGACGGTGTTAAATTGGTTAAAAAAAAAAATGTATGAGGTTTTTTTTTAATAAAATAAATTCCTAAAACAATAAAAAAGGCTTTATTTATTCAACTGAAAAAATAAACTGAATTTAAAACTTTTTTGATGTTGAAATCGCCCTTTTTCGGTAACTGCCTCATGATCTTGTTCAGTTTCTTTTTGCTCAGCTCCAAACTAGATCCATCGCAATTTATATTTCTGCAAAAGAAAAAATAAGCTTGACAAATATCTAGGTAAGTACCTATGTACTCACTTCTCATCATAGGCGTAAAGATCATAAAGGTAGACTGATAAATTTTCCAAAATTGGCTGTGAATGAAGGGCCACAAATTGTTCTCGACATATCTGAAAGAAAAAAAAGTTATCAAAAATTTATGTGCGAGGGTTGATCCTGATTTGTTTAATTAGCAAAAGGAATTCAAAGATCGGAACCCGCCGAAATTAAACTAGGAAAGTCTGTTTCTTGATTATGTATTTTAGAGATAAAGTTGAGTAGCATAGGGGGAATTCATAAAAATCGTGCACTTTGTGCCAAGTCTTTCAAATTTGGTATAGTCTTGGGTATGGTCTTAAGGTTATAGGAAACTATCGCAAGCAACTTGTGCACGGCCTCTGGTGGCCTGCTGGCTTTAAATCTGTATTGGTATTTTTGAGAGATGCTCTTCTCTTCTATAAGTCAAAAAATCTTGAGTAATACAACTTTTTATGGATTAATAATTATCATTCTCCAACTGTCCACATATAATAGGGAACTTTACAATTTTTTTTTTATTTTTTCAAATCATTTATTTATGCCTTGAAAGAGTATTCCCCAAATATTATTCCCTAAAACTCAATAATAACTTGGTGAAAAATTATTAATTATTCACAGAAATACAATCCTATGCAAAATGAAAGAACTCTAGTGCGAATGGGTACGAAAACTGGCCTCAAAATCAAACACATAGTGGCCAGCAGTCACCATGTAATAAATGTGGTAAATTTCATATGCCAAATAGATGTCCGGCTTACAGAAGACAATGCACAAGCTGCAGATGTTATGGACACTTCGCAAACATGTGTGGAATGTACAAGAAAGTACATGAAGTGAATGACCAGGAGAGCCACAATCAAGAAAGTGGGCAAAATCGCGAGGATAATTTTTTTGTTGGCTTAGTTAACATTGAAACTAGTGATGTCTGTGCTGTAAGCCAGGAATAGTTGCATACATTAAACTTGAATGGTCAAAACGTACAGTTTAAACTGGATACAGGCGCACAGGTAAATATCATTGATAAAAATACTTTGCAAAGACTGGAAGAAGTAGTAAAACCTAGCCTAATGAAGCTAAGGAATTACAGTGGCAGTAGTATTTCTCTAATTGGTCAGACTAGTCTTGAATGTTTCACAAATGAGGGCACCTAGTACATTGAATTTCGAGTGATTGATTTTAATGGTCCCTGTGTATTAGGGTTACCAACAATTGAATATTCTGAAGAAAATATACTCAGTTCATTGCCAAGATGATTTGTCCAAGTTGATAAAAACTTATGATGGTTTGTTTCATGGTATAGGTGAGCTGGAGCATGTTTACAATATAAAGTTGAAGGAAAACGCTGTACCAGTTGCCGAGGCATCCAGAAAAATACCCATTAATATTGAAGAAAATGTGAAAATTCAGTTAGATAAAATGAAGCGCATGGGTGTAATAAAGAAAGTTGCAGGACCAACAGAGTGGGTTAGCTCTATGGTAGTAGTCAAAAAGCCAGATAATTCCCTAAGAATTTGTCTGGATCCTCAGAATGTCAACAAAGAAATAGTTAGAAAACGTTTTCAACTGCCCACATTTGAAGAAATTGCAAGCAGAATGCCAGAAGCAAACATTTTTTCGGTACATGATGGTAACAAAGGATTTTATCAAATTAAACTTCATGAAGAAAGCCAGTTATTAACCACCTTCAATGCAGGAAAACGGGGGAGATACTGCTATCAAAGAGTGCCATATGGACTGTCGTCAGCACCAGAGGTCTTCCATAGGTGCTTCAAAAATATTTTTGAAGGACTAGATCAGTGTCGGACTGGGGGTCATTTGGCCCACCGGGAAAATCGTGAAGTGGCCCACCCAACCCAAACCCCATTCAATAAAAACAATTTTGATAATCATTTGTTGACTCTGGTACCTAGTTATATTATAGGGAAAAAAAAGTAGGTAAAAACTTACCTACCTAGGTACATAAGGTTTAATGCACATACCTGCTTATATATTTTCTTGTTATTCACCGAAAATTAAGTCAATTGTTGGCTGGATGCTGTAGCTTCTAATAATTTTCGTGTCGTCTTATACCCTTGTGGGTGAATGTATTTATTGTAATTCTTATTTTATATTATGTTGATATATTGATGATTGTTTGGAATTTTTGCAATAAATGCTTTATAATATACACCGTGATTTACATAGCCCGTGCATTAGAAGTTGTCTAGTTTGCATGTGGATTAGTAGAAATAGCATTTAATCTACCTGCAATCTAATGCATGAGCCACGTAAAGCACCCTGTATAATTGAAAATATTTTAGCCTGGTGGCCCCCATTGACATTAGTATACTGTCAAATTTTCATTTAAATTCTTTATTTTTGAAAAATCCATTGACAAATTTCCATTGCTTTCCAACATTTGTACCTGCTCTTTCCCTTACAAGGTTGTTGAAAAAAAAGACTTAATGGAGTTGGGGCTCGGAACAGGAGCAAGCTTTCTTGAAAATAAAAACGGCGTTACTGGAGGCTACTCTATTGTATTTTCCAGATTACAACTTTCCCTTTCATGTAATAATAGTCGATGCAAGTGATAAAGGTTTGGGTGCTCAACTTTACCAGATTGTGCAGGCTTGGGCCAGTAGACTGTGTTACCCAGAGAAGTGCGATATTCGTCCAATGAAAAGGAAGTTCTGGCGGCGGTGTCTGCTTTGAACCGGTGGCGCGTATATCTTTTGGGAAGGTACTTTCATTTACATTCTGATAATAAAGCCCTCAAATATTTGCAGACTTGTCGTCTCTTGTCTCCGCGTATTTCTAGGTGGACTTTATCGTTACAGGAGTTTGATTTTTCCATCAAGTATACATTATACCCCTGGCTGGAACGGTCCAGGTTTTCCTGTGTAACACCTCCAAGCCCCCAAGATAAGTGTTTTAAAATCTTCAGGCCTGCTCTACCCAAGAATGTCCTTAGTCTGCTAAAGAATATGCATATGCAACAGAGGGAGGATATAAAGTTAGAGGATATTTTGGAACAGTTGCTAAACGACCCAAGGTTGTAGCAAAGGTTTCTGGTGAACAATCAGGTGTTATACATCACACATGCAGAGGATGAACCCTAACGCCTTTGTGGTCCTAAATCGCTGACTAGGGTGTTTGTTGAGGCATATCACAAAGCGTCGGGTCACTTTGGTTGTTATAAGACTTCGTGTGCCTTAAAGCATGAGGTCTGGTGGACCAACATGTATGTTGAGGTTAAGAGAATCATGCGAGCTTTATCAGCGGAGCAAATGTGCTGATCTTCCTAAGCCCGCTATTCATCCCATAGTTCCAACAAACAAGGGAACTAGTGGCTTTGGATTTATATGGTCCGCTCATTAAAAGTCGCGAAGGTGCCATGTACCTTCTGCTAGTCTTGGATGTCTTTAGCAAATACGAGGCCCTATACCTTATACAAAGATTAACTTTGGATTATTTCCCCAAAATAGGTCGTCCTAAATCTATTTTGAATGATCTTGGAACACAATTAGGGTAATTTTCTCCTCAGTGCGTCATGCTCAGGCCAATCACTTCGAAAATGTGATGAGAGTTGGGTAGATTATTTCGACCTTATTGCCAAGAAAAGCGCGCTGGGCTTTTGAAGTGCAACAAATTGCGAAATTTTTGAATAATTTGGTGCACGAGTCGACTGGTTTCGCTCCCATAGAACTGCATTTTGAGCAGGATCGGTGCAGATTATTGCCTGTGTCACTTCAGTTGCCTACACCCAATGTCGCTAAGGGCGAGAGATTGATTTTGACGTGCTATCCGTTTTCCCAGTAAACCCTATCTTGAGTTTGTTGAGGGGGATCTAGTATTATTGACCCCTACGCCTTCATTTTACTTGATTTTTGTTTCGTCTCTTGGGAAGGACAACAAAAAAACTTGTGGGGGGGCAGATGAACCAAAATAATGCCTATTTGGCTCTGTGATATTTTACCGAGTATTTTACTCTGTCCACTGACAGTGACAATGTATGAATTATTATAAATTGGTTCCTGTGTTCACAGGTACTTTAGTTAAGGACACGGCTTGATGGATGTCGCAATGCGTTCTATTTCTAAACCTAAAATATGATGTCGAGGTGAATTTTCTCTCCTTTTCAGCAAGTGTTTTTCTGGACTTGTTTCGTTGTCCGATTTTTTGAATACCGATCGCATCGACGCTATTTTATCCTAAACTGGGCAGCTACAAAGACGAACTAAACTGTGTACATACAATAACTATTGATATAAATTATTTGCCGCTTTTTGTCTGAGTGCCAGGTAAATCATTATTAATCTTATATTTTCATGCAATTACATTTATTATTGTAAATTTTTCCAGTTTTTTGATTTCACGCAAATAAAATCATCTGGTCGCCCCTCTAAGTAGTCTTTGATTTAAAAAAACCCACACCCGAAGTTATTTTGCCACAACATAGACCAGAAAGACATGATGCATTGAAAACCTATGCTGGAACCAAACAGTGCAAATCAAATTAGGCAATAATATGTCCAACACCATACAGATTAGAAGAGGGGTGCGACAGGGATGTGTGCTGTCTCCACTCCTGTTCAACTTATATTCGGAAGCGATTTTCCAGAAGGCTTTGGAAGATGTGGGAATGGGAGTCAAAGTTAATGGAGTATGGATTAATAATATTCGCTATGCTGACGATACGGCCTTAATTACTGATAACAAAGATGACCTACAACAACTAGTCAACAGGGTAGGAGAACAGAGCAAATCATTGGGCTGAAATATAAACACCAAAAAAACAAAGTTTATGATTATCTCTAGAAACCCAAACTCCACCATAACATTAAACGCAAGGCCCATAGAGAGAGAGTAGATAAATTTAAGAACTTGGGCGTCGAGCTTTTCGAAGACTGGACATCAGACAAGGAATTCAAATGCCGCATTGAACAAGCTCGACAGGCATTCTTGAGGTTTCGAAGAATGCGTACCTGTTCTGATTTTGACCTTAACCTAAGACCCAGGTTTATTAAATGCTATGTGTGGTCAGTGCTTCTTTACAGTATGGAAGGTTGGACATTGAAGGTGACTGCAATTAACAAATTAGAGGCTTTTGAGATGTGGCTGTATCGCAGAATCCTTAAGATACCTTGGACGGCTAGACAAACAAACGAAGAAGTCCTAACACGTGTCAACAAACAACGTGAACTGTTATAATTGATTAAAAAGAGAAAAACGGCATATCTGGGACATATAATGCGAAACAGGAAATACCAATTCTTGCACCTGTTGAACAGAAGAAAGAAAATGTCTTGGCTACGAAATATCAGGCAGTGGACAGGCCTACATGATGTGCAGTCGTTAATACACACCGCAAGGAATAGAGAAAAAAAGGAAAATGTTATCGCAAATATCCATTAGTGGATACACATTGGAATCCTAATCCTAATTTGCTCAATTACCAAAAAATTATAAATCTTCACGTTTCAAATAAATATCTCCAAATTAAGGAATCCAAAGATATGAACTCTCCTAAAGCCGAAATTAAACTATGGAGTCTGATTTTTGACTATTTTAGAAATAAAGTTGAACTAGAGCATGTCAAAAAGCTTATGTACAACTGAAATTCTACTACAGAAGGGTGGAAATCCTTTTTGCAAAGTTCTCAGTTGAAACTTAAACTTCTCGCAATTTTAGAACTGAAGCTGCAGTTAATCCAACTGAAAAAGCACGAAAATCTTATTCCTGGTTCTCGTAAACCCAAATCAGATTTGGTTTGGGAAAATTCCCCATTCTAGAAATTTATAATAAAATAACTACTTACCTTATTCATTATATGAATAGTGGAAGGGTGAGTCCAATAACAATCGTGCACCGAAACAAAAGTAATCCCAGCTCTTTCACAATGCAAAGAAGTCAGCATCATATGACTGGAATCTAGTGAATGAATAAAATTTGGCGGAAACGCGTTTTTTTGCTTCATCACATTGGGTCTCCTAAAAACAAATTCAATATGTTACAACTAACAAGCAATACAAAATTGAATTATGCTCCTGCTTACTCAAACTGATCCAGAGGAAAACCCTCATACCCAGAAGGCATGGAAGGTTTTTTATATTTAATATAGGGTTGTACCACTGGAAGACCCATAGGTGTAACCCATTCAACCAAATGGCCACCAGTTCCAGAAATAAGTCGAGCACACTCTGTAAACCAGTCTTGGATCTCTCTTGTTGAAGTGAACATTGTCCTTAGAGACTCAAATGTGCAACCTAAATTCAATCAATCAAAAACTAGACATTATAATGAAGTTATTATTACCTGTAAGATATGACGAAGCTGCCCAAACATAATCTTTGGGAAAATCATCAATGTCTTTCAGCTGTTTAGCTATTTGCAATCTAGCACCAAATCTAGTCACTCCGTACACTGTCGTCATTATTGTTTGCTTGATTACTTTTCTCTTTATAAAGCCATTTAGGATTTTGGCAATCTAAAAACACTTCATTTGTAAAATAATTCACATGTAAAACAATTCTCACCTCTACTCCTTCAGTTTCATCTATGGCCCTTCGCTCTTCCACCAAATTCACGACAGCACTGTAAACATCCTGAGGAGTATCGCTCGGTGCCAAGTTGACACTGTACGCACCAGCACTGTCTCTACCGAGAGCAGCATAGTGCTGCAGTCCATTGCAACTACCGTCCTGATGTACTGGAAAATGAGACATATACTCAGAAGGGTCCATTCCAGATCTTATAACGTCAGCGATTTCAATGCAACAAGCCAAAGTTTGCCAGGGCTCGTCCGATTCCGCCCACCATTTCTGGCCTGTTAAAGGTTGATCAGCCGAGTCCAGGATCAGGTGCAGAAGCTCGTTGGCATAGTCCAAACTATCAAAATATATTTAGAATGCGCAAACAAATTCAAATTTACCTCTTACCGGTCTTGCACAGAATCTCTCTTTTTCAAACCGGTTAAATTTATCAAGTGAATTTTCAACCAATCCAGTCCTTGAGGGCCTAGAGGTCGGGCCTCGGCGAAAACCAGTATGGATCGGGCCAAATCTGAACCCAAATGGTTCAAATGGGGCGGTACCGGGTAGACTCGGCCTCTAAAGTCCATGTTGTGTGGCAACCAGAAGATGTCGTCACGAAACTAGAAAGAATACTCACTTTACTCATAATGTTGTAACTGACAATAATAATAATAATAGCTTTATTGCCCAGCAGAGTTACCCATTTACAGAGCAATTTCATACAAAAATAACACAAAATAAAATAAACAATATTATAATAACTCATTATTCATTATTAAATAGCAGCAAATACACCAGAAGTAACTGATTGCAAACAGCTGGGAGTACAGTTGGAGATATCGCATTCTGGATCAATTCTATTGAAATTACTACAGATTATAGTTATTGGAGATCTCAGGAGAATATTGGTTTTTGCTCTAGTACAATGAAATGTTAAGTTGTTCCTGCTTTGGAGTCTGGGAACCAAGAAATTCGATTTCGTGTATCAGTTTAAACAAGAATGACAGAGAAGCCAATACTCTCCTATGCTCCAGACTTTGCATGGTGAATCTACTCAGTAGCACTCCATGGTCAAACCCTCTTACTGGATAGGTTCCGTCCATTTTAAACATTACATACTTTAAAAACCTTCGTTGAACTTTTTCAATTATAATTTTGTGGACACTGTAAAACCACACACTGTAAGACCACATTAAACAACTGTGCTCAAGTTTTGAGCGTACGTAAGCATAGTAAAGGTGAGTAGGGCATTTATATTATCAAATCCTTTACAATTCCTCACTATAAAGCCGTAAGCCGTACTTGCCTCACTAGCTTTAGTTCTAATATGGTCGACAAAAGTAAATTTATAATCAAACACTATATACCCAGATCTGTGATAGAGAAACATCGTGACAGTGCTGTGTGGTTTATTGCATATGCGAAAGTAATATAGGTCAGTTGACGGGTAAATGTAATACATTTGCATTTAGACACATTTAAATTCAAACTATTTTTTGCACACCATGTTTGAACTCTAGTTAAATCAGCCTGCAAATTGTCCCAATCACTCAGACTGTCAATCGGAGAGAAAATTTTGAGATCATCTACAGATAATAATTTTCCAGAGGTAAGTTCGTCAGCTAGATCGTTAACAAATGAAAGAAAAAGGAGAGGACCTAGATTGCTGCCGATTATACAGATATGAAGCAAAAAGTGCTAGGAGAAAATCCGAATCTATGCAGCTTAATAATTAATAACCCATGATCCAACCTATCAAAAGCCTTGGAGAAACCTGTATATATCACATCAACCTGACCCCCCCCCCCCCCCCCCCTATCCAGAATTTCTGATATTTCCTGTGATATATGCCTTAGATTTGTTATGGTTGATCTTTGGTTCATAAAGCCATGTTGAAAAGGTGAAATTTGGCGAAGACAGATGCATATACACGTTCGTGCAAAATGGTTTCAAAAACTTTGGAGAAATTGCACAGGATGGATATTGGGCGATAATTTCCTACTTGTGACCGCTCACCCGATTCAAATACTAAATAGGATAACTTTTACCTCCTTCCACATATCTGGGTATGTATGGGAACGCAGCATTAAATCAAAGAGGATTCTTAACGGGGTTAGCAGGACACCTATGCAGTCCTTAACTAGAAAAGCAGGTACGGTATCCGCCAAAATAAACAGTACCGAAATCTAGAGCTCTGAGGAATTGCGTACGCAAGTTCCATTTATCATATTTTGCTTACTTGGCATTAGTTATGAGGTTGACATTAAGTTAAGGTTAAAATCTTCGTCATTATGTATCTTTCAACTTAAGAAACAGTTTTCTTAGTAGAGCACTATTTTCGGTCATACGGATTTGGAAGGAATAAAGGCTCAAGTTTGAAACAAGTCTCAGAAAAATTTCAGCAACCACTCTTAATAAATATTTTCAATGATTTGCAGAATCAATATGAAGCTTTTTTGCGTCTCTATGATGCATTTTTTGAACATATACGCATAATACAAATTAATAAATGATATAATTTATATGTTCAGTACTGTTTATTTTGGCGGATACATCACTAGGCACTGAGGATGGCAAAAATACACTTTTAAAAAACTTACCAACAACATTTACTATTTCTTGGGAATCTATGTAAGTTTGCCTCGAATGCCATTGTATTTGGGATTCTAGAGCTTCTGTTCTTACTATGAAAGTGAGACCAAAAGTATCCAGGGTCACTATTAATATTTCAAAGGTTGCTTTGATATCTTGCTAAGTTAACTTTCTCAACCTATTATATTCGATTAAAAAAGTCCACAATGCCAGTCTTTCTATACTTGCTTAATGGTTTCTTTTTAAGTTTTTTATTCTTTATTATTCCAGCGTTATACCAGGCTGGAAAGGAACGGACTCTGTTCGGCCGCCGATCAGAGACCAGCTCGTGCGTCTGGGTATTCGCACCGCTTTCTGTAATTTTAAATTTTTTGTTTCTCAAACCTACCATCGGAACCGTACGTTCGCCGCCTCCTAAACCTAAAACCTCTTCAAAGAGGAATATGTCTGAAGAGGACGACGAAAACGCCTCCGAGATTTCGTTTGCGAACGAAAGCTCGACGATTTTTTGTATTGAAGAAAAAATCAAATTCCTCAAACCAAAGCTGGGAGTCGCATTAAGCAAATGTAACGAGTGCCACACACTTTACAAGGAACTTCGAGAGATGAGTTCCAGTACCAACCCGAAGCCATATAACACAGCCACAATTAATAACGCCATCTCGCACCTTGAGACCGCCCACAAAAACATGGTAAATACGACCAAAAAGCTGAAACCCAGTTCAAGGACACCGAGTAAACCAAATACCGAAGCACAAAAAACCCTACAACAACAACAACAATTGCCGGACCCAAATTCGGCAGCAACAAAAAACGTCGCAAACAATTTATCGACAACAAAGCCGGCAGCTACCGACGATGGGTTCAAAGTGCCAATAAGAACAATGGGTTTCAAGCAAATGGTCGTAAAGCGGCAACTCAACTTTGGTGCCCCAATGCCAACACGGAATATGTTCGATGGATTGCCGTCGGACAATGAATTTAATGAGGTGGCGAGCAACATTTCGGAGGCCAGCGCCACCTCATCCAGGAACCCACCAAGCACCTCAAGCCGCCCTAATGTCCCCAACCGGAGCAAGGGCAAAACAACACCTGCCAAGCCGTCGAAACCTCCCCCAATCGTCGTAAAGGGGAAGTTCAAAAGCCATAAAGAACTTAAAGACGTCCTCCTAAAACTAAACATAACCCAGTTCAATGTCAGGTACGCAAAAAATTCAACTATAATTTACTGCGACCTGACCAAGGACTGGCAGATCCTGCTCCGGAACTTCGAGGCCGAGGAACTCGAACACCATACCTACGCCGAGAAGACTACAAAGGGACACGCCTTTGTCCTCCGCTGCCTCGATGGGGACATTAGCATCGCCAAACTGACCGACGATCTCAAGACAAGGTACTCAATCACTCCCAAAAACATTTTCAGGATGAAAACAAAATTCGAACCGATGTACCTTGTCATCTTGGATGCGAGCTACACTTTAAAAATGCTCAACCAGCACTACAAAATAATACTAAACGTCCGAATCACATGGGAGAATCGTCGGTCAGAGCGGCCTGTAATGCAGTGCCGCAGATGCCAGGGACTAGGGCACGCAGCTACATACTGCAACCAAGTGTAGCAAATGCTCAGGCCCACACGCAGTCACCGAGTGCCAAAGCCCTATAGACATCTGCGCTAACTGCGGAGGTGCTCACAGGAGCAGCAACGAAAGCTGTCCTGTATACCTCTACAAGCTTCGACAGCTGGAGCCAAGGCGGAGACTTGTCCCGGCCCCGCCCCCCAAAAATCCTGCCTGGCAAACGAACGTCAGCTTCCCCCAAGCTCCACCCACAAGCCTGGTACCTCGGCCCAGACCCGAGAGGTACAATGAGGACTTCCCTCCTCCCAGAACCTCAAGACCGCAAACATCAGCGATCCCACATACTGATACGAATACGAATATAGTAGGAGCGGTAAGTGGCAACCAATCCGACTTTCTTAAACTGGCGACAACAATGAATGAGCTAAATTCTCTTGTCAATATCACAGAACTACTCAAAGCTCTGAACCACTACATCGCGCTCCTTAAACAGTGCAATGGTGACAAATCGCAGGTATTGCAGGTCACCATGCAATTTTTCACCACTGGAATTCACAGTTTTGACTTTTAAATGTGGCTCATAATTAGTTGGAACTGTAATGGTCTCAACTCGAGGAGGGGAGACCTATATCAGGCCATGAACCATTACAGTCCCAAACTAATCTTCTTAAACGAGACTAAACTACTACCAACGGACAGCCTTAGGCACAAACAATACAACACAGAACGAATGGACAGAAATCGCAGAGGCGGGGGCGTAGCATGCCTGATCCACAAATCAGTCAGCTATAAGCGAATTCCAACCCTAAACACCAGCATCGAGCACATAACGCTGGAAATAGACAACAATTTGTGGATCTCGGGTGGCTACGCTCCCCCCGAAGCGATTAGAACCGCCCTCGACATTGAGGTCTTCTTTCCCAGAAATGGAAGGGCACTACTGCTGGGGGACCTTAATGCCAGGCACACATCTTGGCTCAACCACGCAAACAACAGGACAGGTAGAATACTCTTCAAGTTTTTAAGTGACAACCCAGACATTTCATTACACCACCCGAATAACCCCACGCACTACCCGCTTAACGGACTGAACCCCTCAACGATAGATACCGCTCTCTCGAGGGGATTCAGAGATTTGACTATCAAAACCAAAAACATTTTTAACTCGGACCACATACCGCTCTTCCTGTACTGGAAAACCCCTCCAGTGCAGGATCCGCAAAAAATACATAGCTACAAAAACTTCAACTGGACACGCTACAAGCAACTTCTGAACGACATCACAACAATCCCCGACCCCATAACTACCATCCCCGTACTTGAGCGGCAAGTAACACTTATTACAAACAACATCACACAAGTCAGAAATCAGCTAGCTCCAAAAATCACCCCCAAAGCATGGACGGACATCATTCCAGACCCCGTTATTGCCCTCATCAAGGAGAGGA